CTTTTTCGTGACTAGTAAGGGGATCACAACCCTTGGCTTGGTGTCGTCCGCACCGCACTCAGCCAGTGAGTGCACCGGCCATTCCGATATAGGATCTGAACCGGGGGTGGGAGCGTCGCTGCACTCCCAGCGCCACACTCTCCCAAGTGCGCCTCGGGGTCGGCCCAATTTCTAATTAATTTCTCTAGAATTATATGAAAGACATTACTAGCAAGATATACACCATTTTTGTAAAATTTCCTGAAGATTAAACTAAGAAATTTAAATAATCGCAAACTCAATTGATAAACAGTTTCTTTGGTTGGCCTCCCTTTCCCACTTGACAATCTAGTCTTTTTCACTTTTGACAATTTCACTGAGTTTAATACAATAAGAGTAAAATAGGGTAAAGTTAATAAAGAAATTTTGGGTAAGGTATGACTTTCGGTTTTGCAAGTACTTATAGAATGTGAAAGATTTTGTTTGGAATAAACTTGGCTGGAATGTTGGAATATAGTGATGCCTCCCTATCACTCCCAAAAAACAGTAACATCAATAACCTTCTAAAATTACCTAGCTCATTTGACAGAGGAAAGGAGGCCTGGGAAAAATCACCCCGTTTCCTGAATTCTATGATGTACATATTCTCCACCTTTTATTAATATTCCAGAAATCAGCATGCATCTAACACATCTAATGTGTAATCTTTTTTTTCATCAAAAAAATTTTTTTAAATCAATGGTCACTACAGTGACAGTGCTTTAACATTTAGGGAATATTAAGTGCCACGCTCATTGCTACTCAGCTTTGTTTTCAGGATTGAGGAGAAGAGGTGTGCACAAAATAAGCAAGGATATTTTGACACCTTTTTTTCAACAAGCGCTTAATAAATGTGAACTATTATTATAATAATTTGTTGCAAGACCTTTGTTTAGGGCCCGCCCATGGCTCACTTGGGAGAGTGTGGTACTGACAACACCAAGTCAAGGGTTAAGATACTCTTACCAGTCATTTTTTAAAAAAAAAGACCTACTATACATCATGAAAACATTAAGCACTCATTTGCATACAACTTACCTAATATTTCATGTTGATATTTAAATGCAAGCACTATTCCTACATATGTGTATCAAAAAGATTTTTCCTCTTACTGCTAAAAAATATTTTTGCTTACATTACTATCTCTGTAGGGAAGAGTCTATTACAACAAAATGTTTCTTTTCTTCAAATGCATTTCACAATACTAATCATTTTTTTCTTTTAACTGTAGATATTGCATGGAAACATCACAAGGTAAAGTCACACTTATCTCTGAAAAAGTAATAAAGGGCCCCTTAAAATTCTGACTCAATAAGATACAAATGCATAGTGTAAATTTCACAAGGCTAAGCAAAGAACAAATACTGAGGAAACAACTACCAGGGACTGGAAAACTAAAGTATACCCAAAGTTCACATTGAGATGACCAATCAGAAGAGAGACTTCATTTAAGATCCAGCGTTGAGTACAGACCCCAAGTCCATCCTTGGCATTAGTGCTAAACCAGACTTAGAGAAAAGTCTACCATTACAAAGCTTTAAAATAAGACTCAAACGGATTAACTAATCCACAATTAATTTAACTGTCTTCTAGAATAAAATCCAACACTCTTTAAATAAAGACAACAAAATTCAGATACTCAAAACATAAGGTTTACAATGTCTAGTAGATTTTTTAAAAAATTACTAGATGTAAGAAGAAACAGGAAAATGTAACCAATTACAAGAAAAGAAACAGGCAAAAGAATGACAGATGATAAAGACTGGTACACAAAACGTTTAAAATAGCTATTACAAATATGCTCAAAGACTCAAACAGAAATATAAACATGGAAATGGAAACTATATTTTAAAAAGAAACAAGCAGAATTTTAGAGTGAAAAAAACACAAGTTTGAAAATAAAAAGTTTACTGCACAACTTTAAAAGCATATTGAACACTGCCAAATAAAAGATCAGTGAACTTGAATAAACAGTAATAGGAACTATCTCAGAAAGAGTAATAGGAACTATACAATCAGAAATACAGTGAGGAAAAAGAGCTAGAAGTGGAGGGGGGAAGGGCGGACAACAAAGAGAAAATAATCAATCTCAGTAACCTGTGAAAACTCACCTCACTGAGTATTTTTACATACATGTAACTGGAAGCCAAGAAAAGGACTATACAATCAGAAATACAGTGAGGAAAAAGAGCTAGAAGTGGAGGGGGGAAGGGCGGACAAAAAAGAGAAAATAATCAATCTCAGTAACCTGTGAAAACTCACCTCACTGAGTATTTTTACATACATGTAACTGGAAGCCAAGAAAAGGGAAGGGAAAATATATTTGAATAATAGTGACCAAATATCGCCCAAATTTGATGAAAAACACACAGATCCAAGATGCTCAAGGAACCTCAAATAAAATAAACAAAGAAAACCAAAAAAGGTACATCA